GTGACAATCAGTCACTGGGACACAGTACTAGGAATTTCAGTGTCTTTTACAGCATTGTTCGAATTCTAGGTCATCTAATCTGCAGTATACTACTTCAGTTGCTTCACATATCCGTATCTCATCTATGCTTGATAGTGAACTTATTGGTTACAGGATTTCATCATGAACTGACATTGGTTAGACAACCATTGGAAAACCTACAGGGAGTACTGGACAGCTGTTTCGTTCTAGTTTGAGACTCGTCAGCAGTATGCACCCACTGCCAGAGTTCGAACCCAGGACTTTCTGGTTACAAGGCGAGCTAGCTCGTAGAACATTAAGCCACTGGGACTCTGTCCAATGGCCAGTCGGTGATTTCTAACTCCTGCCAATTCACGATATAGCGCAACCGGTAGCCAATGTCTTCGGCGAGTATTTGTCCTCTCACCCTGCTGGTCACGACTTCCTACTAGAGCCCCAGGTAACTACCTACCTGAACTTATGTGAACTTATTGTTCACATAACTTCTGACTTACGCAGAATAGCTTTAAACCCCCTCCAAATGAACTAACTTTTCATAGACGCTTTTCATTTCCTGATGACCGATGGCTTTCATGCAGTGTATTAAATCATCAAGATGTTTACATTCCCACTCAAAGAAATTATGTTTCTTGTGAATGCCTTCAGTCATTTGAGTTGGTTGCTAAATTAGTCTTCACATAGAAGAAGCCAGTGGCTTGTCTGGTGAATACAGTTCAAGCAGATGTCAAAAAAACAGAGCCTATGATTATTGTAGGAAAAAAAGGACCAAAATACATTTGCCACTCTTTAAAGAGTTGGTCAAAATATTCGTGATCAAGGGTATATCACCTGGTGGACAAAACAGAAGTGACAAGTGGAACCATAGTGTTACTCCATGTTCCGGATAACTTTCTACTTCAAATTTAATCACAATAGTTTAGGTTGTGGTAATTTCCTAGCATCGTTAGGGTGCAAATGATCAGGCTCTTCTAGACACACATTCGCACTTCAGAACACTTGGATAAACCTTTCATATGACAACTGCTCACCATAAGTGGTTAGTACATGATCTGTCTGTCTGTATACCAACAGGTTAGTATTACAATTCTACATACACGTACGTCACCGCACACTGAAGGTTGGTAAACTTCGTTACATCAAATGATTGCAGATCGGTATCATACATTGTACAGAAGCATTCGTTTTATACTTTATGCAATATTAGTAGACTGAATGAGCATTCACTCCACTGTATGAGAGAAACAAACAGTGTGTTGAATTTATGTAAAGTCTGAACAGTTTGATGTACTTGAGAGGTTCAACCAATGACTAGATAGAACTGAAATGTCGCCAGTATTTCAACCGATAGTTATTTGGTTCAAATACGCCTGACACGATGTTGAAAAGCCTACACTTAGTAAGTAGGTGAACGCGTAAAACAGCGGACATACTTCCCTGTCAGCAGCGTCTATGATTTCCTCCTATTCTGTTACTTAAAGGAGGACGCTATACGAAGCTCTTGTGAAGGGAAATACTTCGAAATATTTAATACAACTGACTAATCAAACCTCCCAACTCCTCCCGTGTAGATACTCGTCAAGTTGTCATAGTTTGGTTTTCGCGTTGCCCACATAGCGTTCACTAAAATATTCAAATATATGCGTATTTGTGTCAGAAATCCAGTTGATTCATAATCCTACGTATTTGAATGGTCTGACAGCAGGTCTGTTGCCTTATTTCATGTTCAGTTACTGAGGCTTGATTACGGTGTTAGTAGGAATTCAACTCATTACAGCTGTTGCACAAACTAAGATCTCTCATCAAATAAATAGTATTTTATGTATCCTAGAAACAGGATTAAGTTGCCTGAAGGCTTTAGTGGGAAGTCCAAGTTGAGACTAACTGGATGGCGGTCGAACTTTATACTGGCAGAAGTTATAATCAATGGGTAGTTAGATTTCGTCTCAATGATTCAGTAGTACACGAGCTCGCCTCCTTACCTAAGGGTCCTGCATCCGATCGTTAGCTGGTTTCCTGAGGGTTACTGTTAAAGAGTCCCAGACGAGGATGAAATAGCCCTCTGGTACCTCCTAGTTTTCAGAGTGAGGTAAGTTTGCAATAAATCTTTTGTTCTGAAAACAGACAAAATATTGTAAGCCGAACCGTCTGTATTTTATTAACTTAATGATGACGTCAGTAGTGAAATCAAAACTTTGCAAATTAAACACTTCAGAGTAGAACTCCACTGTGACTGCTCTCGTAAGTGCTAAGCATACATACGAGAATAGTTAAGCCACTTGATACCTTTGAACAGTTGCCGAATTAATGCTACAAGATGTATAATACTGGTTCACACAACTACCAACTGCTCTGTATCAAGTGAACCTGAGACTGACTATAAATGTAACCTTGAACTTCTGTCTTTGTTAACACTCAAATTTTTGAATACGTCGATGTTAGAAAAGAAGTGAGTAAAATGTAATGTCAATTAGAAAGCAAGGAGCAATACGTAGGTAGCAGAAGAAGCGAGACAAGAAATGTAATGCTCATAAGTTATGCTTTTTAATTAGGTTAATACGAATAAGTGGTGTTCTACGAATTACTCTAGTATTGCAATGTTGGCCACGCAGGGTAAGTGACTGGAATTACCGAATCCAATATTCTATAAATTGAATATCATACAGTTGACAAAGACTTTAATGTTTACTGTGATTGGACACTAATAACTACTGTGATGTGTCTAGTCCTTTCCTTGGTGCAGACTGAATTTTATCAGTCAGGTTTGCAATGTGGCCACCATTCTAGGTAGCTGGACTTTAATGTTTAGCAGTTGAAGGCGATCAACACTCAGTTTCGGCACTCATCAGCGAGCTGTTTCTACGAATCTGCATAGGATTGATATCATCTAGGAGAGATGAGAAATCACCACATCCAGTGCTACAGTCAGAGAAGATATTCCGGAGATTTTCGAGATCACTGCTTGAGTAGTTGACACTAAATATGTGTGCACTCTAACTCAGTGAATAAATGAAATCATGGGGCATAGCTAATTACAAATTCTTTTTCAATCTGATAGAAATCAAGTCGGGTAAGAAGAATCCGATGAATGGTTGGACGAATGAATATAGGCCAAGGCTGTGACAAAAGTTAAATTGACACTAAAAGACTGAATCGACTACATATTCTTGTCACACCTTCTACCTTAGCCACCACAACGTTGCATTTCTGTGCTTAATGCATCAATTACTCGTTTTCCTCTTCTTCTTCTGGCAATCGGCAGTATTATACTGTTTCATTTCAGCTGACTTGTACTCCCTCCTACTGCCTTTTATTTGACGCACAGGCGTGACACAAGAGAATTTGTGCCACAACACAGAAGGCGGAAAGCGGGCTACCTTAGCACTGAAAACTTGCACAGTGTTGTGGCATCCAGTACACGTGAGATCACTGCTATTATTCAATTTCCAAAAATGTCTGTATTTAATGTGACAAAAAGAGTGAAAGATGACAAGCATTTCTAAGCAGAATAAGATAAATTCACATTTAAACCTTTTACATTTAGCCTTCACTTAATTTTTCCCCATGTCAGTGTATTACAGTACTATATATACACATTCTCTTATTATTTTTTTTTAATTTTGGATTACAGCTTGATTCAACACAGTATTTTTATTACAAGTATGGAATTTTCAGCGTGGATATCGGTAGCCCAAATTTTGCAGGCCGACCATAAATATCAGGTGCGTCGGCGAGGGCTCGAACCTCGGACCATGTACATGGTCGGCGAGAGTCCTAACCACTGTGACACCGACGCTCTTATTCTTTTTGTTATACAGTTCTCTTGCTCTTTCCACATTCACTTTCATTTTCCAAAACTAAACTGCAGTAAAAATTTATGTTTAACACTATAATAAGGAAGTTAACGGTATCCTGAGGAATATGAAATTTGCGATTGTAATCCGTATTTGTACCCATCACTTTCCAAGTGGATGTGGTGGTGTTCCGTTTTCACACGTTTCTAAGCTCTCACATATATCATACAAGGAAAGTGGAATAAAAAGTCGAAACACTTATGCTTTTGCTTTCCGTTGTTGATAACCATCTATTGGGTGTCAAGTCGCGTATCATTCGGACACTGTGAATCAATAACAAAACCGGAATTTATGCATATCATCAACTTATTATTGCTTCAAGAGAATAAAAAGTGCATCACGCACAACTTCAGGAGTGCGAAACAGATGCGAGTCATCGTCACACAACTTGTACAGTACGAAACCACAGAAGCGAACAAATCATAACTGTAAACTAGAGTCCTAAGACAGCGATGGAATACTCTGTATTCTTCGAATAAATACAGTTCTTCAAACTGACGCCAGTGCTATGCAATAAGGCTAATGGGATTTTTAAGTATTCCACAAATTGAAGTTTCCCTACCATATAAAACTGGTTAATCTCAAACTATGAGAGGATAATAAATCTAAGCAAATGTATCACCCACATGCAGATGTTTTCAGCTTTCCCAATGCAACTGGCGCAGTTTTAATTGCTTTCATAAGTCGCTAAGAGTACTTCCATCCAAAAACGAACAACAAATCTGTGCAGTTATATCTGTTGTCGTATTTATATATTTGAAGTGGTCCAACTGAAAGAAATGTACTTGAATGCCTTTCACCCTAAAAATGAAAACCGACGGTAATAACCTGTAAAGTAGGGCATTTTTCCGCAGAAGTATGTGACATCTTAAGCTGTTTCACCATCCTCTGTGAAAAAAAAAGTCATTGAGAGGCTCGATAGCAGCTGCACAATCTGAAGAACACCGTCGTCCTACAAACTGCTATCACTACACGCCCTAATGAGCTGGTCCCATGAAAAACAAGATGAACACAAACTGATATTTATCCATATTTTTATATTAAGTTAGACAGTATATATATATATATATATATATATATATATATATATATATATATATATGTATATATATATATATATATATATATATATATATATATATATGTATATGCAGGCCTACAAGTTGCATACACAATATACATACATCAATATTATTATTATTATAGACGTGTACAAAATGAAAATTTGAGCAAACTTGACCAACTCTGTTTCTAAATTAATTTGTAATTCTACCATTAATTGTTTATCATGATTATTACGGTTATTAGTAATGATATTATTTTCCTTTAAATATACTCTAAGATAATGAGACATAAGGAAGGGTTAAGAGTGGAGAAATGGATAGATGGTTGGTCGGTTGGTTGGTTGATAGATGAAAAGGTAGGAAAATGGATGGGTAGGCGGGTAGGTAGGATAGACAGGGAGATGAATCAAATTCAAATATTGTAATGAAGAACACAATAAACAAATATTGACAGCTTATGTATATATAAATAAGCATATGTATATAAGTTTATACGTTAGTATATTTATGCATACAATCATAAAAATAAAGCTCATAGAATTAACTACACTATACCGACACCCATATTAACAATAATAATAATAGGAATAACAACCCTGATCGTTTTTTTGCTCCTTAAACAAAATATTTAATTCAAACTTATTGTTTAGTGAAAATTGTTTAATACGAAAAATGTTTTTTTTAATATGTATATATTCAGATTGTTCTATTAATCAGTTTATTTATTCTTTCTGTTGCTTTTGATCTTGCATAGGCTGTTTTTGACCCTTTTGTTGTTGAGGCTTATTATTTTGTTGATACTGTTGACCCAAGCGATGATTACGATTCACCGTATCATCTTCCTCGTCTTCATGAACACCTTCAATCTGTTCAGGCAACCGGATAGTGATTGGTGGGAAACTTATATTCTCTGGAATACTAGGCTCTTGCAGGGTACTAAGAATAGCCGCAGAACTGACAGCTGCTAAGGCCTGCACACACACACACAGAAGAAAACAAAAGATAGGTGAGAAATAAATTTTATTTGAAAATTAAACCAATTTGCAAGAAGTAATATTTTTTTGATGATAGCTTGATTCCACGCCGTATTTTGATACAAGTATGAAATTTTCAGCATGTGATATCGGTAGCCGAAATTTTGCAGGCCGACCATAGATATCAGGTGTGCGTTGGCAAGAGATCACACCCCGGACCATGTGCATGGTCGACGAGGGTCCTAGCCGCTGTGCCACCGACGCCCCTAATAACACCTAATGACAGCGTTCCATGTTTTTGATAAGAATAGCAATAAATATTTTTTCTTGTGGTGATAAATATTTCCCTAAAATTACTAACCATTTTTTTGGTTGCTTAAGTTCCGAATGGGACATAAGGCTTCGAGCTAGAGATTTCAAGTTTCGATAGCAGTGGAGTTTTTTTTTACGGGCCAGCGTTCTACCACTGAAACACTGACACACACGCATACAGAGCATTTATCCTCATATCGTGCATCACTGAGAGCCTACTTTCATTGCTTACACCAACCAGTCAAATATCCACGCAATTCGGAAGAGGGGGGCCGATTCTGATACATTCGAGAGTTGGTGCACTATCCCCTTAGTTGTTTAACAATTTATCCACTGTTCGGCAATACCGATCCTAGAAATATGCCTCATTTTTTAAACGATCCGATTGTTATTTCATTTTGGGTTACTTATAATTTATGCTCGAGTCAATGGCATCTTCGGAAGTCTCTCTTACTAAAGTTGTTAGTTTACCGACAGCACAAGTACATACAGTTCTCCTAGGCTTTAACAGATAAGTATGGCTTCGTCAACCAGATATATTATCATCCGTACTAAAAAAGAACAACTGAAAAGTGTTAATTATAAAATCATATGACAAAGTCGTCACAGTACGAGAAAAAAAGTCTCTTTTTTTCCCCTCCCAGGTTCACTTACACTGAGGGAACAGATAAACATAACAGTCACATTAGTTCACACTGTATTTAATTGAAGTGATAAAGGTGCCTTGTTAACTGGTGACTAGCGCATGCATGTACGTGTGTGAAAATTGGACACTTTGGTACTATTTGATAGCATACTAATTTGTTTATTGGATATCATACACACATACACACAGACAGATAGACAGAGTGTAACAAGTATTATTTACAAGATACATTACGACTATTTCACAGCGTGATATACATATGCAATAAACAAAATTAATTAGTAAGGTGGGCAACAACCTAATCTGTAATGAAATTCAAAAAGTAAAGCCATATATAGATGGAAAGAGCTTCTCTCACACAGCGCTTACTATTGACCAACTCTGAATTTTTCGAACGACATCGTATCTTTATTCTTTGATTAAAACCTAGATAGTAAGTGATTAGGTGTTATGCGTCTAGTCCTTCGTTAGGTGCAGACTGAATTCTGCCAGTCAACTTCGCAAAGTGGCTATCAATGTCAGGTGGCTCTCTCTATCACGGTGTGCTTTGAATTGTTGTTACTGTTTGGTTGGAGGCAGTCGGTAGGAAGCCTTGGACCTAAGTGTCGTGCTTGTTAGACACTCATCAGTCAGAAAGGTGTATCTGCAACCCTGGAGGAACTCATTTTCCTCCTGAGATTCGAACGTGTTTCACCTAGTGGTGCATTATTCAGAGATGCTATCCATTGAGCTGTAGGGAATCACTACTGACCTCCTGTAAGAGCGTTAACTACTTCGATTGAACGCTAGTTAATAACTAGTTTTATGTGTTTAGTCCGTTTTTTGGTGCAGACTGAATTTTAGCAGTCAAGTCTGCAATGTGATCATCATGCATACTAGATGGTTGGCCATCACAGTGGACTCTGAATAGTTGATATCGGTTTGAAGTTTGAATCTCAGAATGGATATGAGTTCCGTCAAGATTGCAGATAAACGCCTTTTTTTACTGGTGAATGACTACAAGCACGATACTTAGGTGAATGCTTCCAGCCATCTGATAGCGACAATGGTATCATTATTCTGATCAGTATTTTTCTCCTCAGTTATATGCTCACTTGCTGACAGCCAATGTCCTCTAGCTGACTAGTCCACGCTGAACTCTGTACTACTTAAGGACATCACTTCGCAATGTTACATTTCTAAAAAGCGGATTCTGGTAGTTGGATAATTCGTCAGTAGAAATGAATAAAATAACTCCCCCCTCTAACAGAAAATAGTTTTGACAGTTACATAGATGTGTGACTACAGAATACCGATGAGACTAAAGGGCAACTATATATATGACTTCAGTAATAGATCATAGCTGGTATGAAATTTTACTTCTGTATCCTGTGGAAAGACTAAATAATCAGATGACAATATGTGACTGGCTTGACACACTAAACGGCATCCAAGAAGGCAAGCGAAGACACAATATGGCAGATACTAACGATTGACATAAGTATCCATGATCCACTCACATCTAAGCGATATAAATATACCTGAATGGTCTGTAACTCATTGATCTCAGAGAGGCGAATCAGTTGACCCAACCGGTTTTGATTTGAATATATTGACATAGTATGAATCCGGAGTTATTGTTTCAACTAGGGTTGATAAAGTCCTTTTTGATGGTCTACTTCTGTGACATCGGAGGCATGAAGTTTAAGGATTTATTCAGAGATTATCTGAGCACTCCACCTCCTACAAGCCCCTAGATTTGAAAGCATCCAGGGCAGTATAATATATATATATATATATATGTTTACAGTATTGACCAAAAAGATTGCATTGATTTTTTTTGACCACATATAATAATACCACACAACTTACTGTTTGACTAGCTGTCAAAACTGCAGCCGGATCTAGTGGACCGAAGTCAGTGCTACTGGCAACTCGTTTCACTATCTCCTTGGTATGAGCTTGAGTTAGTTTTTCGGCAACTTTTAATTTACTTTGGAAAAACTTTGTATCATCGACTACACCGGCTGCAGCCAGATCACTGATCATTGAACCACCTAGGCCAAAGTTAACTTGCATTTGACTACCAGACACTGCTTGAGCCAGTGCATTAGCATTACTACCGACATCATTAATCCGTGAACGATGCAGTGATTCACTTGACTTTATCATAGAGATGAACTCTGTTCGGTGTTCTTTTTCCGCTGGTCCCCATTCATGAACAGGCTTCAAAAACTCCTTCATCAACTATGATGATAACAAAATAGGTTGGTTTTTTCGTTACGTTAGTTAAATAGAAATAATCATCAAGTGCGTAAAGTAACCTTACATCAAACGATTATCACCTAATAATGAATTCCAATAATATCTAATATCAAGCATACTCTAATAACCTGGTATATTATTTCTATTGTTGAAATCCAGTACCTAAGTACTCCTATGCAACTTATTCCTCTATAAATCAATTAAAATGAATGTAGCATGTTTGGTGTTCGGCACTCATTTCGCTTCACACTGTGTGTGAATGCAGGCTTGATTTAATTGAAACCCATTTATCCGTCTATTTGAATAAATAAACATGAAGGTAAATTAAAACAATTACAACGAATATGTCATCTTGTGAGTTGGATTTTTCCATTCCTATTCTCCATGTTTATCTAGATCTAGAGTCTTCAAGGTCCCTTTCAGATTCACTGAGAAGTTGCCGACATACACACACAGAATTACACTTAAAAACAAACATTTCCAATCTAATCTATCGACTATTTAGGTTGTTATTCACTTTCTCACCATATCTCGTTTCGTGAGATCCATGTATCTCCACACACAAAGAGCACGTCACGCTGTTCTCGTGATTCTCATCATCATCGGCAACGTTTGCAGCCAACTGACTCATGCGTGTGTACAAGGAAATGAAAGGCTATGCAGGCGTAACACATGAAACACCGAATAATTACCATACCTGTCATTCAAACTGAAAATCTCACTCCTCTCTTTTATTCCGGAAAATAGACAGGCGTCCGCAAAAAAAAAAGAGTAACAAAACTGAAGTTTCACTTACAACAAAACCACCCTCTTTACAATATTTATATAAAAACCAGACGACAATTGTTACTACAGGGATAGCTGCCAATATATGACGAAAGATTAAAGCCCACTGAGGATAGGTGTAATTGCCTTCTTTGAATTCTTTTGAGTAGATAAAGATGCATACAATTAACAAAAAGCAGATCAATGGAGTAAAGAATAGCCAGCATATACGCCAATACCAATTCGGTCGTTCGTCAATCATCAATTCAATATCCCGTCGAAACTGTTTTAAACCTGAGTATGTGAAAAGACAAAAGATACATATATGAGGTCAGATCAGCGTGTATGTATCTAGTAGGTGAAATTGTACAGAGCAATAGAGAGTAGAAAAAAACGCTATCCAGTGCAGATTTCGTAACTACATAGCTCAGTAGTCCTAGTGTGGATGTGTGTACCGGTGACACCAATGGAGATTGAAGTCAAGACCTAGTTACTACGTGACCACAATGAATATTCGGCCTCTGGCCTGAAGTCCATCAATGCGTGAGTTTCAAGTCTTCGTGAACTAATATCGCTGATGAACATCCACTTCACACCTAACCTGGTGGTCAGTTCATGACGACATCTGCGCCAACATCAGTTAAAATTCGAATGAACGTGGGAAATTTGTTTAAGAACTTTTTCTTTAAACCACTTGTCATCAACTGTTATCAAAAAGAAAACACAGAAGCATACTGTGTTTTGTAGAATGAAGGTGACTCTGCAATTAAATGTGTTTGAAAGTTGATAAATAATGCTGGGAACACAATTGAAGCCTGAGAATAATAAATAAATTGATTAAACAACGAAGTATGGTAGGTGGAGAATGTCGTAGTCAATGACTAGTATCGCGTTGACATGCTTCAGACTGAGGAAGCACTGTTGTTAACTACTTTAAATTTTTTTTCTCTCGATGTTGAAAATATTCCTTAATTGGTAAGCTGATATACATGAAAAGGCGGATGTGATAAACTGGGTAAGAGGATCGATTGTCTGAATTTGAAATTGGTTGTTTATTTATTTATCATAATCCTGTCGTTGTGACTACTAGTTATCCTTCGTTATAAAAGTTAACTCAAACTGAGCACAAGCAACTTCACTTATTCAGTAATTATCGACTAAGGGTGAAGCGTCCCATCCTCTTAACTTCATGGTGACACAGCGATAGAATGCTTGCCAGCCACGCATGTGGTCCGGGTTTCGATCCCTGGTCGCACTCTTTTACCTCTCTCTCTCAGTCAGTAATGAGACTGGTAAAGAGGGATGTGAAGACATGAGGCTAGCAACTCCATCCCATAAAAATAAACACTGCTGCTACCGAAACTTCAAGCCTCCAGCTTGAAGCTCTATGTTCCAAGGCCAACGTAAAGGAATAAAAAAATTAAAAACATCTGCATATGTAATAGTGGGGTTTAGGTAAACTAGAGAGGATATGAAAGTAGGACGATGAAGTCATACTGTGTAGTCTCTGTGTGCTAGAAGATGCCTTTTGAATCCCCGAATTGTTTTGGGATAAAACATAGCGTAGGTAAAATCATTTCATTGAATCAGTCAAGTGGTGACTGTCTGTGATAAGCTACCATTTTTGGCTCTTTTTGTAAACCTTACGAATTGAGTATGCATTCTAAGCAGGTGAACGTAGTCTACAACCAATTGAAGTAAGCTTTGAAAAGCTCTGTCCATAGATTAATTAGCATACACTGGTGCTAATGAACATTTGACTAACTGTAAGAAGTGGAAATATTATAGAATGCATAGAGAAAAAGACGTACAACTGCTGGCGAGATTATTCACTCCCTTTATAAGTGAAAAATAGGGCGCTGCTGAGCGTTATTCACCCTGAGGATTATGATTATCATTCTTATCATTTATAACCGAATAAACTTACCGTAGACATAGCATATGACAAGGGTTTCCATTAGTGCAACAACCAATGGTGTATAACCAGATATGACACTGTCGTATATTGAAAATAAATAATATCCACCACCACAGACCATTGGTAATCCAAGCAGAAAGTCCACACAACAAACTGCGATTCTTTAAAAAAAAATAAAAATGAAGTATAAATTTATTAAGATGCAGAATTAGTGAAATGGTTTCTACTACCGTGTATAATATGAACCTTTAAAAATAAATTTATTCTTATTAAATTATTATTCTTCGCATCATCTGCCCTTCAATGAAGTGTAACGACTACGAAGTCCAGTGAGACGTAAGTCAGTCGTGTCAACTGAATTCATTGAGTCATTTGGCTGTTCATCCTAGGATTATTAATAGTGGAAACCAGACAGAAAAACATTCTGTATGACAACTGAGGGGTTTCCTTGATAATGACTACTCGAGTTGTCTGACAACTAACCAGTTATCACCTACAAACATTAAAGATGAATAAGCTTGATGAATATGCTGTCTGACAAATTTAAATGTAACAAGGTGCCTACGTGTGTGATAAAGCTAATACCGAGTTAACCCAAAAAATAGCGATAGACTGTAAGGATTTCATTGGTTACAAGGTTGACCTCATTGTTTGATATAAGTTACAGAACCACTGAAACCAGGAAATATTGGACAACTTCTTTGTCCTAGTTTGTAACTCATCATCAATACGCCTCCTAACCTTGCAAGAGACCAAAGTCGTGACACCAATGGGATCGCCAATGAATTACACTGGCTGGCGGTCGCCCTGTGGCTGAATGGCTAACGAGCTCATCTGGCAAGCTGAAGGTGCTGGGTTCGAATCCCGGTGGGTCGCAGACCAGTACGCTTGAACCTTCCCAATCAGAGAACAAAACAGCTTTCCAATACTCTGTGGGTTTCAGTTGTTTCCCAACTGAAGTCAGTTCATGCTCAAACTTGAAATTGGATACAATTTATCAGCCAAAAGTTAGGCATATCCAAATGAAAATTTATCACGGTTTCCCATTCGTAACCGGAAACACTCCTATCACAATGTATTTTATTCCACAGGTGTCTAGTCAGATTTTCGAGGGCTTGAAATGATTCCGCTTATTCAGCTAAATCACTTTAGTGACTGTCTTCTTAACTTCAAAGAAGTGTGAGAATACCTTATTTTGGTGAGTGGTTTCTAAGCGAGCATATAAACGGACAAACAGCTGATAGTTACTACTGATACCAACTGTGATGAACGTGAGTGGAAATGATTTCATGAAATTATTATTCAGATTACTTGACAACAAAAAAAAGAATGCAAGAATTTTGTTTGATGTAATTTAAACTTTTCAGGAAAGCCTTTTTACAGCCGTTTCTACCACAGTGCCCAAGTTTTATACTTGTACCGGTTCCCATCGGTTAGCAAACATAACTGCACATAACAGATACCCTCTCTACCAAGCCTACATTTTTAATATAAGCTGACTAACGATACGGAAAGAAAGTGACTAGTTCACAGAGAAACAAAAACCTACTGGAAATCTAACCCTTTCACATTTACCTGTAGGCAATTTTTCGTTTCGTTGTTAACACCACACCCAACCGTCTCAATTCATCCTCTGTACCAGAAAGTGTCGTCTCCAAAATTGAAAACTGTGAACCGAAGCCCAATGTCAACATCATAATGAAAAACAGCACGGACCATAGACTCGGAAGTGGCATATTTGTCATCGCTTCAGGATAAACAACGAAGGCCAATCCGGGACCTAAAATTGAAGTAAGAAAAACAACCATTCTTATACCGCTTTGTTACTTTTTTTCTCTTTGTTGTAACATCCCCACAGGAATTCAATTATGAATATATGGTGGGTGTTTACTGACGTAAAAATATCTGCGAAAATCCTAAAACGTTTACACTCCACCTTTAAATCAGGATGGTTGGACGACAGCAAACACAGTTATCAGTGGTTCACTCTTCACGTATGAAAAAAGGAAAGAAAATTATCTTCCACAAACGCAAGTTATAGGGTTAGCTACTCCACTACCAGCAACGCAAGGCTCCTCACTTTTCAATCACAGGGACAAAAAGGAAACCACCAGCTATTGTGAAGAATAATCTTTTGCTATCTAGCAAAGTTAATCAAAAATAACTGACTGATAGGCGTAGAATCATACTGCTTAGTCTTTTTTTCCTCTTCTTCAGTTTCAATTTTCTCTTACACAGTAACTGTCTATTTTTATACTACTACAGTAACAGTAATCAAAGCATAAACTGGTGTGTGTGTGTGTGTCAATCACACCTGAACACTCTGAAGTTATAAGTCTAGCTGCTTATAATTCATTTGTTAGTTAAATACGCCCATTTCCTACACACTTCATTGCTTCATCTATCTATAAGCCGAATCTATTTATAGAACTTCTTCTTTTATCACTAATCTGCACATGGCTCATCACGACATAAATATACCATCAATTCAAAAGCTAGTGCAGCAGTGGCAGTGTGAGAGAAGTGGATCGGAGGGCGGTATCAAAATAATTCACTGAATGTGAAGTGACATACGTATACAACTGATGCAGCTCTAGCTATAAAACACAAAAGATTGTTTATACTGTTAAGTTTGATGCAGATAAACAAACCCACTGGACATTTTGTACTGCATTCATTTAACCAAATATACCAAGAATTGATTGAAAGCGTTTTAAAATAATATACTGAGATTATCAATTTTATACAGAAATAACTGTCACCATTGTCTCTAGATATCTGTAGTGAGAGGGATGAGATTTTTCACTGATGAATACCCCTTTGAAGGTAAATGCAAGCAACCATATGTAATTAAAGCTAGAGTATAACACAAATTAACAGACGTTCATTTACGAGTTGACATGACTGGCCAATGGGCAACCATAAAGAATGGCGACCAAGGTTTACGAACGCATCAATGACTCTGAGTTGGTCAATGAAAGCAAACCGTTTATTTATGAGAAAAATACACATAATAGGAATGAAATGCAGTAAAGACCATATTTTACCCTGACGTTACTCAAAAATACATCCAAATTACATTCAGGGGTATCAGCTATGAGGCTCCATAAATATCAAAATGATTTCATCTTCATCTATTTATTTACAGAAAAAACACAGTAATAATCCCAATCGTAACATTAACCCTTATTCTTACCTGAAGGTTTATAAAACTAGGCCATAATCCTTAAGTTCACCCTAACTGTAATACTAATCCTAACCCCAAATGCCATCAACCCATTGTTCAAACAGTATTCAGAAGTGGGTATTCCAACGAATACTGTTACTTAGGTTGGCTGGAGAATGAACTTCAACTCAAATGGAAGATCGACACGTCCGTCATCCGAATATGCATTCAAGATAGACAATTATGATTATTATTGTTTCCTTTAGTTCTTAGAGGAACTTTGGGCTTCAGCCAAACGTCTTCCCTACCCTCGGTTCTACACTAACTCTTTTATCCGTATAGTAAGCAGAAATGACTTCACATTGGAGTTGAAAATCCAGATCTTATTTTTCCTTCTGAGTGCTGTTTATGTTCATACAGACTTGACAGTTTTGAAAGCTTGCCTTATTTTCTCGATCCTCGCTTTGATATACTCATCAGTTTCGTCTGCCTGTAGTTGAAACGATGCTTCCCAGGTAGGCAGGTAGGTCAGTCAGTAGGTAGGTAAAGGAGGTTGCTACAGTCAGATTAATGTCTGTTGTCGTTGTTGCTGTTGGCCAGGAATCTTCATCATCATTACAGCTGTTTTCTATATGTACACCTGAAGGCTAATCTTCTCTGAATGATTCTTCTGCCAGCTTGTTGGTTTTCATTTTCATTTATTCCAGTCCGTGGGAAATCAGACACATATCATCGGCGAAGTCCACATCCTCCAAGTATTTTGTGTGTACCCATTTCATGCCTGTCTCCTCGCTGCCCGTTGTCTGTCTGTCTGTGGCATTATCCCGTCTACCGCCCACAACCAGGAAAATCATTGGAGATGGTAGTCAGCCAGCCTCGTCTAACTCCTGTCTTCACTTCGAAGGATTCCGTGAGTTTCACACTATGGATTACATGGCATGCACCATCATCCTAAAAATTGTTGGATGATATGTAAAATTGTTGATGGAACCTGTAGTAGTGAAGCAGTTTGCAAATTACCTCTCGATCAACGCTGCGCTATCGAAGGTCTTTTGATAGTCAATGAAGTTGAGATAGAGAGCTGACTGCCACTCCAAGCCCTGCTGAATGATGATCCGCAGTGTTGCGCTTTGAACGATGCATGACATGTTTCCTCTGAATCCAGCCTAATCCGGTTGAAGTTTTGTATTCAATACGTGTTTGATTTTTTCCAGGATGATGCGGCTTAGTATTTTGCTTGGGATGGACATGACTACACTTACTGACAATAGTGAGAAGAATAAATAAATAACTATTTCCATAATATCAGATAATAATGTGTAGAATTGGAAAAAAAGCTGACCGGATGTTGCAACTGCAGCAACTGTAGTATTTTTTGTTAAAGCCATAAATCCCAGATTACTGAAGATAACAAATCCAGCATACACAGAAGTTGCACAATTGATAACCGCAAATATTACTGCATCTCTATAATGTGAAGACGAAATTCAAAACAAAAAATACGAAACATTTTAACAGGATACCATTTTATGGGGAAATAAAAGCTTTATATTATTAAATTAGGTGATAGTTTATATTTCATTATCCTGTAAGAAATTTACTGATCATTTAAAAATCGCACATGGATGAATAATCATAAACAATAGTCTACAGAATAACCACCAGACACCATTATTTCGTTATATTTTCCAAGTGAAAAGAGAACGGTATGCATTGTGATAATCAATGCAGTCACAACAGAATTCGGCGAACAATCCATTTCGTCTCCCGTGACTTTAGGGTGAACCCCAAATCGTTTTCTTATGTAAATTATAACTGGTGTGTATAGTTGGCCTAATATAAAATTTAAAAAATTCCATATGATAAACTTCAATGGGACAACAGGTGTAATAAAATAAAGATTTACTAATGAAACAACACCGCATAAAGAAAGAAAATTTCAACAAAGTTAACAGGTGTAGGACGGCGCAGAAAGCAGAACCAATGAATATTGATTCGCTCCAATCTCAACAACCACTCATGTTTACAACACCAACCAAATATTATAGTAAGGGTGTGAAGTATGACCTGATTCCAAATCTCTAAAGCGACGTTATTAGGCTAGTAACCCAAAAAGTAATTAATTAAAATGGTTAGTTAACTATCCAGCTCAGAGAACACAACCACATCAAAATCACCCACCTGAGCTTAAAATCTTCTTCATCATATCTCAAGGATTAAGTTATGAACAAGGAAAAGTCTATCTAGAGCATGTGGATGGTGACTTATATGTATGAGAAGCTGGCGAAATGGACTGACTGATGGCGATGTCTCGGCAGGGGTAAAAGAGGCTCATTCATGAGATAAAAAAGCCAGTTGTCTGTGACCATAGATGTCTATGTTCGACTCCATTCGTTGGGTGTCATAATGTGACTTAATGTGAATTAAATCAATTAATTAAATGTAGACGTTCAAGGTAGGGGGGATAAACCAACCGATGAAGTTATGAAGTCGAACTGCAAGGAAATGTTTCTTCTGCATGGTCACTGCCCACCTTGAAGAGTACTGTTAGCTGATATAGGACTAAACAGGAAAAATGTTGGAGGTGGTCAGACGAAAACATGGCATAAATCCATGAAATCTATGACTGTTGACTTTTACCCAGGTAGGCAGATTTAGACTGACCTAATTAGGCATAACAGAGAGGCTGTCAGGAACCGTATGTGACATTTATCAATAATTCTCAATGGTGCAGATAATTTCAATTCAGATTCAATATTCTCTGTATAATTAGCCTTCCTCCTCTACATTTCTTTACCTTTATATATCGATAAAAGACAGAAAAACCTTTAGACATATGACTTCTAGAAATAATGAAAAGTTTTACGTGAACATGACTTGATTCAATACACCTGAAGTATGAATAACGTACGCTTCCAGCTTCAATGGAGTTTTTTAACACCAACATTACCAGTGACAATAAAATACATGCTATTTCTAACTTGTACATCGGTGGTTAAATACTAACCAACCATGCGTATGGTCTGGCGTTAGATTCACGGTCTACACATACTGCTAAACCTAGCTCGGTTGGTAATAAGCCCAGTAAATAGGGTTAGCTGGGTGTAAGACTAGAAACCCCAACCCCCAAAAAAACGAATGAAACCACGGCTACTGACACTTCAAAGCTAAAAGCTGGAAGCCTTATCTGTTCCACTGGGAACACAAAAGAATAAAAAATATCCTATTTTAGCATAGCTTTGTTCTTTATGGATCTGTAAAGGTAGAATAAATTTACCCCATTAAAATATATGTGTAGCCGCCAATAGATGATGGAAGGTAAAAACTGGTGCACTAAGCTACTGGCAACTGTTCTGTTCAAACGTGAAACAGTTCATTTTTGATAAAAGAAGTACACAACTCCCATGCACCTATATTGTTTTTATAATGTTTTTACACATACATGTAGACAATGTGAGGACAAAATGTCCCAAAAAAGGACATGAACATAAATGTGTATGAGAGAAATAAATAGTTCACACAAAAAGTATTTAGATAGAGTTTATAAGCCAAATTAAATAGAAATCGTTTCATAACTAGTCATCAAATGTGCTCACTCTACTTTCATGGTCTTGTTTATCGATGATAAACAACATTATGGGAAAGGTGAATAAATTGCCCTATAATTATCACCCTGTGTTCTAACAATATTTGAAGGTCATTTCGGGTATACTGGACATGATTCGTGCATAATTAGAAAGAGAAGTGAGCAAATTAACATTATTATTATTATAAATCTACCAATGTCCTGAAATGTAGTAGGCATGCTAAAAATTGCAAATAAATACACGTAATAGTGTGAACTGTGTTATACAGGTAGTTAATTCTCAAATATTCAGAACTTCACTCAAACTATCCAATATAATATGGAGTGTATGATGGAGAAATGCCAAATAATTTTGAATTTGCTCAGCTAAGCTAGGCAAGCAATTTCGTTTCATAAGGTATGATTTCTTAACTAGGTTATATTTCATTGACTTCTACAGCCGATATCTGGGAGTCAAAGCGAAGCTGTCTCGACGCAAGCTTATAAAAAATAAAGTAGACATATCATGCTAGGATTCTTTTGGATACGTAAGTATGCAAAATATAACTGGGGCTGTAGAAACGTCGCAGACCAGAGGAAAGAAAAGATTCTGGATACATTGGTGACTAGTCGATGACGAAATGATGACAATACGCGCAACTGTATACTATTCCATATGAAAACAAATAAAAATATAACAAACATCGTAGAGTAATAACAATTAACACAAAAATAAAATAAAACTGAGACTTTTTTGCATTATTATTAATGAAGGGAATAAATATAAATATTGTTTTTATTATTTTTATAATTTTATAGGAAAAAAGATACAAAATTAGAAAGTGTGTGAAATAAAGCTTGGAAAATGCATACATCACACACATCGGATTGTGACTCATCAACAAAGGGTGTATATCTTAGAGCTGAAGTAGAGGATGACTCATACACATACAATGACAGTGAAACACACACATTTTGTTTATGTATAATTCCTCTCACGGGAATGAAAACGAAACTAGTCATTGAAATACCTGAAATATATAAGCTATTCACAAAAACATTTTTCTATTGGCAAAGATCAACTCGGATTACTATACATTTTTGAAGGATATTCTCCAACCGATAGAGTCTTAATTCTCTGGATGAATGAGTGAAGTCTGGAGTATATCCCCATCTCAAATTTTAGAGGCGAAAAGCATAAGGCAATATTTAATATAAAAGACAGTATTATATTTGAGTGAAAACATTTTTTTTCATACTAATTCTTTCCACTCAGCTTAGTCTTGTTGAATCATGGACATAAGGAACACAGAGAATGTAAAATAATACAGTTAAAGTCATTTGAAAGACAACCTCCATAAAGAACAAAAAGAGTCTTCCACTATATTATTAAAAGAAACTACTAGAAACTGAAGAATGCTTAACAGCACTTTCGGTTCCGAGTTGTGTACTGATTTCTCAAGACACTGAACTGCAGAGTTTCTTTTGGATACTCCGTCATGATAAACTAGGTTACTCTAATACAAATTAATTAGTCACAGTCTGGCTATCTTTCTCCACTATCTTCAATTGGCTTCAGCGTCAGTAAATATTTGATAGAGGAGTGCACATTTCAGCGCACTGTAAAGGTTGGGGTTGATGTCAATCTGGCTTGCAACATACTTACGTTTACGAATTTCATCAATCATATCGTCATCACAACCACCACCATTCTAACCTAACTACATAACTTCCAATGATCCATTTAACTAGACATACTGCTTCCCCTATTCAGAGTCAACAGTAAAAAGTACACACTATACTTACTCTCAGTCATCCCCCATGGATTACATGTGAACAGCATGTGTCCGTGTATCCAACGCCATAGTAAAGTGCATTATCAACATTGAAGAATTCTCTCTTTTTCACCACTAAAAAAACCTGTTTTGCTGTTTATTAAATTTTTCCCTAAACATTCACTTTAACATTAATATTTATTATCAACATTATTATTACTATGTTTAAAAAAGTATGTATAAGCAGACTGATTTAATTTTATGGTCAATTAGTAGTGATAGTTTTTTGTTTTTGTCACCTGAAATAACCCCAATAAAAACTAATTCAAACCGACTGTATTCGTATTTCATGTACTCACGGGTGGTTATGAATGAAATGTACACGGACAGTTCGGAAACAGTGATTTTAAACATAGTTTTAACTTGTGAATAATCATATATTGCCACTAATATAACACAAATTAAGTCTGATATAAAATATAATTATATTAAGTGAGTATAACGGTTGTATGAAACAGTTTCAAAGCTGCGTTAATTGCACATTTCATCAGTAATCAGTCAACCATGTTGTGGTGGTAATAAGGCTACACACTGTATTAGTAATTATTAATCCTCCTCTAGGATGAGTACTCTTCAAAAGAGTTTGAAATGTATAACTACGTCAAAACTGGGCGTCAGTGGCTCAGTAATAGGATGCTTGTGAATGACGTACGTCATCCGGTCAATTCACTCTTAAACCTTGCTTGGCTGGTTTGTGTAAGTCTGACAAACAGGGAAGATTTGAAATGAGGCTAGCAACCTGAACCACGTTAAAAAACAACAGTATCACTGATGAAACTTTGAAGCCCTGTCTGTCCAACTGGAACGCGAAGATATGAATAATGTTATAATATAATATTACTTCAGAAATGTCAAAAATACTTTGAAAATATGACGGAAAAGTAGAATGAATTACACACAAATTCGACAACATATAGTACAAAAATTTTCAGTAGAAGCTGAAATTCACCCTCAGCTGTTCAAAAAAAAAGGAGAAGAAAAAGTAAATGACCTACCTACAACAGTTGTTCTTAAATTTATTGTAACTAGACATGGTTATCAAACCACCGTTACAACAACCCAAAGAGAAGAAAATCTGTGTAGCTGCATCCGCCCACACTTGTGGATCCGATAGACGTGAAAAATCTGGTGTGAGGTAGTAGAGTATACCGTCTTTGGCACCAGGTAGAAGTACACTTCTGATCAACAGTATAGTCAACATTATGTATGGAAATATGCCAGTAAAATAAGATACCTATATATTTATATTTTTAAACGGAAAATGTAGGCAAAAATGTAGTTAATTTTTTAGAAGATCTTAAAAAAACTTCATACTGTGTCAGACTCATTTTTTTAATGAGAACTGCGTCGGTCGCACAGTGGTTAGGACGCTTACCGACCATACAAATGTTTCGGGGTTCGATCCCCGGCCAACGCATACTTGATATCAATGGCCGGCTTGTTAAATTTAGGCTACTGATATGATATGCTGAAAATTCCATACCTGTACCGAAATATTGTGTGGAATCAAGTCATAATAAAATTCAAAATTTAAATTTAGTCAGAGATAAGAAACCACAGCCTAAAGAATAAGTAACACTGGTATTTCAAACCTGCACTTTATTTATAGTTGACATAAAGAGAACATCGTATCTGATGAGATATCGATAAAGTGGCAGATTTACTCTGGGGGTTAATTCCAAAATTTATGAAAACTTCATAAATTCATGTTAATTCTTGTTAAAGAAGTAATGATGAGTTATTCAACTTATTCATGCCCCGCAAGGATTCGATCCCAGGACTTCCGGTTACAAGGAATGCTCTTACACCATTCACTAGCCCATAAATTCTAACTTCTACCAATTTTCTGATTTTAGCGCGACCATCAGCTAATGTCATTGGTGAGTATTAGTCCTCACGCCTTGAAGTCCAAACGAGAAACTGTCACCAGAGTGGCGTCCACCACATCGAGCTTGAGAATGGATAGTCACCGATGATTACGATTTGGCAGAAGTTGGGATTCACAGAGTACAAGCGGCTGAATGGTCTACGAGCTAGACTTGTAACCGCGAGGTCCTGGGTTCGAACCCTGGTGGATGTGTACTGATGAAGAGTCCCCAAGTGGAACAAAATGCCTGTCTTATACTCTCTGGTTCCTCGATAGTTATCTCACTGATGTCAGCCGGTGATCAAACTTGCAACAAATGAATTTTCTACATATTCATTATTGAAAATTATTCACATCCCATTGGATATCTAGCATGTCAAAGTTATTGGAGATATTTCTTACTTTTGTAGTTAAGGTGACGACTTCAACCTCATTAATTTACTTGTCCTCTTGGTATACCCACCTGAGTCTATCCTTAAAGATATCTGGCCTGACTAAGTATTGCCTAAGTAGCCAACCAAAGACGTCCGATTCAGAGTGAGAACACATACACACGCATACATGATGAACGTTATTTTTTCTTCGTAAAACTCTACTTTCTTGTTATTTATTCTGAAAACTGTATTCACACTACATCATAGATCTTTATGGTTTGCCAATGTTAACACTGAAAGACACCTTTTTTCATTAAATAAATCTAGTTGCCTTCAGTATTCATACTGAAAACGTTTTCATTGCAGTGATTTATAAGATAATGGACTAATGAAAGTGATATAAATCAACTGGAACGTCTAGCCTTTAGTCACATATTGTAATTATTATTAACAAACTTTCCAACTGTTTTTTCTTTTTTGTGAGGTCTACATTTAAGTGGGCGATATGAGAGTAGGAATGGTTTTTTAAAGGTGAAAGTATGTTATTTCGCTGGCACTTATACGTTAATAAACGTATGGTAGAAGGGATGTAGTTAAGTATTAGAGACAACCTAGCAGTATCTCTGCCTGGGTGGCTTTTTATTCGTGCACTGAATATAGGAATTATAATTTGAGTTGCATCCGTTAGTTTTCAGACGCAAATCACTACTGGGTGAATATTACAACAAAGAAAACTCGAAGACTTACTGTTAAGGTGGACGCAAAAAAACAATTACGTTCACAAGTTCACTGCACGTGCTACACAGTTTTGTGCTGAGAACACATTTCCAAACACCAGTTATTTGACAGTCTCTTAACTATGCCTCGAGTGTTTAAGTTATTAATTTGAGAATTAAATGCGACAAGTGTGTCAACATATTATTACTTATGACACGATACGCAAATTTAAAGTCATTTCACTTTCTACGACAAAGTAAAGAAGGAAAATTGCAGCTGTCTATTATTACCATTTAGTAAACACTTATTCACATCAGTCCATTCTAGCTTATAATATATGCATGCGTGCGTCGGTGGCACAGTGGTTAGGACTCTCGCCGACCTTGCACATGGTCCGGGGTTCAAGCCCACGCCGACCCACACCTGATATCTATGGTCGGCCTGCGAATTTTGGGCTACCGATATCCACGCTGAAAATTCCATACTTGTACCAAAAATACGGTGTGGAATCAAGTTGTAATCAAAAATATAAAAAAATTAAAAAAAAATAAAATTCACTAGCCAAATTTGTTCAATAAGAAAAGAATAAACCTAATACATATTATATATAGCTTACTTTCCCGAGTGACTGTACACCCTTGATAACAGCCAATGCAGAGATAATCCAACAAGCCAAAAGGCACAATGATAACGACCAACTAGGTGTACCGAAGTCTTCAAGGCCAGAGGTAAGCTTGAGCACTTCATTGCTATTGAAGAACAAGAAAAACACAATAATTTTGAATTATTTGAGGTTAGCTTATTAATAATAATAAGTGAATGTAAACTCATACTACCCAGCCTGTGGTTTTGATAGATATGTTGTTAACTGGTTAATAACTAAGATAATTAGACTTAGGAATGCCGTAATAGCTGTTATGTGGTTCACTATCCTTCACCTATTGACTTTTAATCAATGAGTCCGGGATTCAAATCTTACCCAACCAAATTTATCCTACTCGACTATAAAATTGGACCATCAGCTTCCACACAATGAGTTCGCAAACATCGTATCTTGTCTTTCTTCAAACACAAAAAGCGTCAAGCTGCAATTTTTTCCTGTAGAAATTAGCATAACTAACTTGGAAAACAGTGGGTACTAATGAGCTAAACGCCCAAAATGATAGTATTGAAATACAGTAGACCTTATTTTATTTTTAAAACGCTTCATAGCTTAAAAGGTAGTTGTTAGACGCAAAACACAGAGACGATAATAATCCCTTATTTTAACCTTAAGGCTTTTAAAACTAGGTCATAATCCTTAAGTTAACCCTAACTGTAATACTAATCCTAACCCCAAATGCCATCAACCCATTGTTCAAACAGTATTCAGAAGTAGGTATTCTAACGAATACTGTTACTTAGGTTGGCTGGAGAATGAACTTCAACTCAAATGGAAGATCGACACGTCCGTCATCCGAATATGCATTCAAGATAGGCAATAATTATTGTTTTCTTTAGTTCCTAGAGGAACATTGGGCTTCAACCAAACGTCTTCCCTACCCTCGGTTCTACACAACGTTTCCACCTCACTCCACGTCTGTTCACATGCTCTCATCTCCTCTTCACATCACCTCCTCCTCCATGTCACCCTCGAACTGACGACTAACTCACCACTTCTCATTGGGGTTCCACTCGAACGATGGTCTGACGTGTGAAGTCATTCACTTGGTGGTTTGTTTTCTCAGAGTATGGCCAATCCAATCCACCTCAATCGGCTCTCAGAGATCCCTCACTGTTCCTGATCTTTTCTGGCCGGCTATCTGATCTTGAGAGAATTATTGAACACAGACAGCTGTTGACGAAAGTCTGTAGTTTCTTTGAAATGTCCTTCGTGACGCGGCTTGGCGCCAACTCTCTGATACACATAGTAAGTACCACTGACTTCACATTGGAGTTGAAAATGCGCATCTCACTTTCATTTTTATGCTGAGTGCTGTTGATCTCCACACAGACTTGAGAGTAGTGAAAGCTTGTCTTACTTTCTCGATACTCGCTATGATATCCTCATCAATTCCGTCCGCCTGCAGTTGAAACGATGCTTCCCAGATAGGTAGGTAGGTCGGTAAAGAAGGTTGCTTCCTTCAGATTCCTCTCATTGATGTTGACTGATTATTGTCTGTTGTTGTTGATGCTGTCGCTGTTGGCCAGGAGTCTTCATCATAATCACCTCTGCTTTCTCTATGTCCACCTGAAGGCCTATCTTCTCTGGATGATTCTTCTGCCAGCTTGTTGCTTTTCACTTGCATATCTTCCAGTTTGTCGGAAATCAGATATATATCACTGGATTAGTCCAGATGCTCCAAGTATTTTGTGTGGGTCCATTTTTTGCCTGTCTCCTCACTGCCCGCTGTCTGTTTCAGTTGAATAATATAAGTGGTCTGAAACCAATCACGTCAACCAGTATCGCTTCCCAGCTATTCTGAGTTTATCCACACACTAGATGATCATTTCGTTCATCAGTGAGAAATCCTCGGAGTAACCATCACTTCTAGGATCAAGAGATGGGATCTGCAAACAGTCATCCATGTGTACATATCCTTCGACTGGCATAAACGTCGATCAACATAAATTGCTTGTTAAACACCAAAGACTCATGTGCATGCAGAAGTACAGTGCGACATATCACACTTTATTCGTCAGCATAACGGAGATCATATCTTCCTCTCACTCCATCGTTGCACTCTTTATACTTTTACATAACCATATTGTGCCCTGTATGGTAATATCTCAACAGTTGCAGTTCACATTCTTTTTAAGTCAGTTAAAAATCTGAAAATATCGCACACCTCATCAGCTAACTCTCACAATGGTGTACACTAAATCCAGCTTCAGTTGACTCATAATTCTCTTACTAACCAGTGCTCAGGTTGGAAATTTTTCACGTGAGTTCTACTTAAGATCAATAGAAGAAGCGAGGAAACCAGAACATAGTTTCCAGTTCATTTCAACCTTTGTAGATGGTGTATCCTGTTCAAATATCGAATTTAACGTATATTTGACAGACTGAAGATAGTACAGAAATAAGCTGTACTCTACTTCATACTTTTAATGTCTCTGACTCACCCCACTGTGATGAACAGAAAAAGACAAAGTTGCATCATTCTGTAAGTTTCATATGTGAAGTTTTAAACAGTGGAATCATCACATCACCATGAGAATTCCATGAGCATTTTCCATGCTTAATAATTAACATGTTTACACTCCAGGATAAGTGAGCCAAGCACTAGTCTGATGAAGTATACTACTGTCTGTCAGTAAAAAGAGACGCGAAGAAAAACAAGACATGGGTCTTAGACAACTCTATATGCATTATGAATGTATTATGTCTCATAATATCGAAGATGCTGCTTCCACCTAAACGTTACTTTAATATAGTATTTATTGGCGTAGAGAACAGTTTCATGGGTTTCACAGATAAAGATGAGTCATAGATGCTTGTTGGGAATTTTGTTCTTACAGACTACTGTGGAGATGGTGAGACACTGTCAGTCTAAGCAATGACTACATAAGTTGCAAACAATTGAATAAGTTGAGGCTAGTGGTACTCGTCCTGTCTCTGGTTCCCTTACTGTCTCTTTATTAATAACTAAGTTATACGCCCGACCAAATAGTTTAAGACATTGTAAGTGACTTATTCTTTTTGGAGAAAGTTAAATGCTATGAAAAAGTATAGAAGTTGTAACTCCGCAGAGGTGTGAATTTTAGATCACCAACTAAGAAAGTAATATTCTAACTCAAAGCACTATATTATCCGACAGACTACATGCTGCCATAAACTTTGATCATGAAAAGGGCATTAATTAAATCTCATCTACAGTCTCGTGATGTTGCACACTCATCAGACCAATACAAAACTCGAAACAAAAGATATCGGTGTGCGCAACCATCGTTTATTCGTCTAATACTTTAGCCTAGCGGATAAGTGGACAATGCTTTTAGCATTTCATTCTCAGTGGGAACGCCATCACTTGCTGGATATTCCGCTGATGAGCCCAACACTCGGAGAGACATGCATCAGCATAAGCATCACAGTAGGGGAGAGTAAAACAGACTGTGTGTGCGTATCGATGTGTGGAAACAGATTTATATTAAATAAGTAGAACCTATTAATAAACCAATAAGGGAATACCAACCACATACTCAAATAAGAACACAGAATTCGAATTATGTGACTCAATAACTAAATATTAATGAACCATTGGACAACGATTCTTAGAGTGAAATTCACAGAAACAGGCTGATTGGGATTAAGCAATTGTTTTATGTTTATTACGAGACATTAAACTGAAATTCAACCACATTTTGTATAAAGCAAACTCACAAATAATAATCTTCAGATGGAGATTTAGGGTTTGTAATGTTTGTGAAATTGACTGGAAAAGAAAGTGACAGGCAAGAAACACTGGTGAATTTAGTGAAAGGTGTAATTTGTACAGGTCAGTCTTATTATAAGTATAGAGACAGATAAACTTTAGTTAATTTTTAGTGAAAAAGTAGCAATCATAATTCTTAGTGTAATGTCACTGGTGTGTCATCATCAACGGCGGCGTTTCATGACTCAACCGGTATCCACTGATTTCAGCAGAAGTTGCACTTCATGCTAACTCTTATTTCACTTTTATGCACAGGCGAATTCAGTTTCGCACTGTACCCTAAGCTATAGTCTACTCACACACAATTCATAGACTAAATAAAACACAGACGGGATAAAAACGTGACTTTTAAAGGTTTAGTGGAAATTTCGAATCGATAGAAATAAAATTCACAAGCGCATTAAAACAAGAAAAAATTCATATCAATGCTCATAAATAATAACTGGGGAAATAATAATAATAGTACTTCATTTTATTTCCCACACAGCCTAAATAATTTGTCGAAACAATGATCAAAAGATTTTTTTTAATCTTTTATAAAATATAATACTTCTGATTGAAGGCTAATATACACAAATGAAAAAGGAAGGATACACATATTACCCCATAATTTTCTGATCACAAAGACAATGAATAATTTTTGCATCAATAAATGGTGTTCTATTTTTGTTTCAATGATATATCTGAATAGATTACATACATAATACACATAAGTTCCCTTACCGTTAGCAGAGTGTACACAAGGTTACAGTTATGGATTATGCATGAGTTTATCATTCACTATGTTGCTTAACTGAACTAGTAAAGTTAGAAGAAAAGTGACGCGGTAATAGACCTGAAACCAGTGAGTTAGAACACAACTACCCGGAGTGGATTTTTTTCTGAACGCATGTGCTATGAATCATACAGTGTGATTGTATCAGCTCTGATGACACTACTACCCGCCCACATCCACGCTGAAGCAGATGCTAAGGGATTTGAAACCAAGGCTCACTGATTGAAATGTAAGCACTTTTGACCAGTGACTTATATCCCCATTTGAGAACCATTATGTCCTCTTAAGTTCGAAAACCGAGAATGTCAACCAGAAATATGACCGCGTTGGACACAAACGTGGTAATCACGAATATCGCTTTATTACACTAACACCATGATACAAAAACTAGCTGTTTCCCCAGGCTGCACTACTTGAACAAGAACACACAACGACATGAGCTGAAAAGTACACCTTTCGCTTTAATGTATGATTCAAAATGACGCTAGGGATATGTAAATTAGTTTGTAATCATGATCAATAAAATACTGGGCGTTATTTCTGGACTGGCTATCACCCACCGAATCAAAGTTTAGTTTTAGCAGACTCGTATTATTATTCATTCTGATGGATATCACAGAGAGATAAATGAGGTTCAAGAAGAACTTGCATCCCGGAAGACGGTAGTACAGTGTACATCTGCGCATGAATTCGAACACTTGCTCAGAAATCAGTTTACCTTCTGCTTCCATCACTTAAAATAAAAGCATAGATTCTCACTTAAAAAGAAGATGACACTGAACACACCAATAAATGTCACTGTTGACTAGACGGCATTCCTGTGAAACAATTTAAGTATAAGGGTTTTTAGCTAAGGCTTCATACAGCTTTGAATCACTATTCACTCAGATATTAAAACACAGTCACCCGATGATGATAACAAACACAATGATAGCTTCACAACCATAGGTTTAGCAGTATATATCAACGATGAACTAAATTCATTCTTGACAATACACTTACCACGAAAAGCATCCATGCATTGAGGACTGCTCCAGGCGGGATCACAATAAGTCCAAGGCAGTACGCTGGTGAAACTAGCACAGAAATAGTACAAACAATGCGCTACAACAATTTGATAGTAAATAACGAGTAACCAAGAGAGAATGACCATTGCATAACCAATACCTGAAAACAAAAAACGGATAGGGCGTGGAAAAGTCTCATTGATAATCTTCTTTATAAAAATAAAGCAGTAAAAATTCAACATTTAAAAGAGTTACAATGAAATTGAAAAGGAATATAAAAAATATTGTGATCACTTGTTTAAAATGTTACATTTTTCATAACGCGCTTGTAGTGCAGCTTGCACAGCACTAAAATTGACTTAGGGCTAAAACAAATGCATCAAGTGAGAATTAACTTAGTACTAACTAAATATACGTTTAGCCCAACACCTGTGAATGCCTTAGGTATTCTAAGTTTTGTTTTAACGGATACACATCCGACTAGGCTCAGATGCCACTTTGAGTTCCTCCTTTTTTGAGCTGCTAACGCATACATCCGTAGAGTTTGTAGCTCAGGCATACTAGCCAGATAATTTCGATAGTCTCTTACTCGAACAACTTTAACATTTTCTTTTTGAATATATTGTACATTTCTAAATAGGTGAGTCATTCTGATTTGTGCTGGTAAGATGGGATACTTATTAAGTGTGTAATTATGTATATTGTGTTGAGCAAGGCTATTAGTGTTTGGTACATCCATTAGCTCAATCAGAAACTTAGAAGCTTTCCGATAAACTGAAATAAGAGCTATTTGCTGAAATATGATACTTCCAATTACTTTGAAGATGATATTTATATGCAGTTCACTTATACTATCTCTTAAATGAGGGAAAACAATCACTTTGATGCGAAAATCTATAATTTATTCGGGTAAAATGCCACTTGAAATAACTCATATTCACTAACAGACAAAGTGGACGCTTTCTACATTCTTTTCTTTTGATAGTATTGTATGATGTTCTGAAGCACAGCATATATGTCGAAAAATTACGGGAAGACGACAAGCCTTCCAGAGTTCTCCTTAGTGGTTCATTCAAAAAATGGAACTAGAATTTCGAGACTATATAAGGTCCGTATATATGAATTATATGCGCATATTATTTAACCAACAGTCTTTTCATTTAAAAAATAAAAGTGATGGTGATTTCAATGTTTCAGTTTCTTGGTAACTGGATTTATCTATGGAAATGCGATAACTCCGAATGCGAAAAATTAGAATTCCCAGCGCCAATGTTAAGTCAGTTCTTCTGTATGGCTCAGAGACTAGGCGCGCTACCAAAAGTACATCCGACAGGCTAGTGTGTACCATCAGTAGCTGTGTGCATTCCATACCAAAGATCACATGGTCGACCAGAAAGGATGAGCAACAAGGTGAAAATGACAACGAACCAATCAAGCATCTATCGCTCAACAAATAAACAGAGGGAAATCGAGATGGACTGGGCATACGCTCCACTGATGAGATCCTTGAATGACGCCACCCAGCAGGTCCTCGAGTGGAACCCGAATTGAAAACGGAGAGTTAATTTTTTTATTTCTGATTACAGCTTGACTCCACACCGTATTTTTAGTACAAGTATGGAAAATCCAGCGTGGATATCGGCAGCCCAAATTTCGCAGGCCGATCATAGATATCAGGTGTGCGTCGGCGTGGGCTCGAACCCCGGACCATGTGCATGGTCGGCGAGAGTCCTAACCACTGTGCCACCGACGCACTTATGCGTCTCAGAGTGGTATGGAGATCACGTGGGGCGTAAACGAGAGGTGAAGGGCAGCTGGGAAGCCAGATATGGAGTAGTGCAGAAAAGAGCATAAAGTGTTGAGGCCATATCTTCCACTTGAAACTCAATGGTTTAATAGTAAAAAAGTGTCTCTGATCTGATTACTGTCATCCAAAGACAGCGAATGTGCGAAAAAAATGTTCACTTGAAAGACACTGTTAAGGTGACAAAAATAGTTCTTCAATGCATTATTATGTCGCTTTTCTGACAAAGAAACGAAAGACTCAACCGTATTTAGGAAATATTCACCTTGACTTAAGGTCAGTTTTTTTAAATAGCATTTGTATAATACCATCCTCACAAGCCAAAGACTGCCACTGCTTGGGAGAATGAAAAGTTTATGTTGTAGACTTAAGTTTCCTTCGGTCAGAATATTTCATATCTCTGAAAGAGATATTAGTTTTTCCTGACTGATGATTAGCATCTTCACTTTCCTACAATAATTAGGGCTCTCGCCGACGATGCGCATGGCCCGGGGCTCAATCCCATGCCGACGCACACCTGATATCTATGGTCGGCCTGAGAAATTTGGGCCACCGATATCACATACTGAAAATTCCATACTTGTAATAAAAATACGGTGTGGAATCAAAGCTACAATCAAATGCATAAATAAATAATGTCAGCTCATGATGAAATCCTGAAACCAATCAAATCCCTACAAACCAACACTTGAAAATATATAAATGTATTTCAGGAAAAACCAATAGGAAGTTTTTAGTGAAAGACCAACAAACAAGGTATATCATCGGAATGTACGAAAGTTTGAATTTTCGTTTTTCACTTCATTCCGTTGTTAAAGCAATACTACAGTCACATTTCATGGTATAGCCGGTATAGCATTGCATGTATTCAACTCATGCCCTGTATAACCAAATGCCACTAAGAATTCAATAACATCGAAGGGTAATATAACGAAGGCTATCCTCACTGAGTAAGAAAAATTCGCGGAAGGTGTCTAACGGTGTAGAGTATGCGAAGAGAAAGGAGAAGTCTGGTAAAAGTGCACCCATGTGATAAGATTTGTATTCCGGTCGTAAAAGTAACCCAGTAACTGCTTTATGAAACTGTGGTGAAAAACATACGGCCCTCACGAATAGAAGATAAGCGAGAGAAGATCACATCGCACTAACATCAAAGCAGGAGTTACCTAATAAAAGATTCCTGTCTCTTCGATATCATATTATTAGACTCATTACAGCGCAAGTATCTGAACAGTGATGCATTTAAACCATAAAAACAAACTAAATCTCTGAAACACACTTGAATTAAAGAATTTCAAAATCAGCAGTGAGTAAATATTCAATACAATGCCAACTATGTGTTAATGAATGAAACACTGAGGTTGATTCATCAGGACAAAGCAGAGATAATGAGTTGAATCAACACTGTTCTAGGTGAAGACTTTCGAAAGAGATGAATTTTACCGATATTGACTACCCGTTTCTTTAAAATAACTTCTAAATCAGATGCCAGACCATAATGTGAAACTCGTCCAATTATGTAAAACTGGACAAACTATTAGATCAATACGAAAATGTGCTAAAACCCCATTCGTTGATGTAGTTGTAGGGGAAATTTTTCCATATTCAAATAGCAGACATCATTCTGTACTCATCTGTTACAATAGAAGCATACCTGCCTACGCGCCTACTACTACAGACCTTAGTAGCGGTAAGATGGATTAGTGAGTTCATAAAAATCTCTACACAAACAAATCGAGATTTTATGGCGTTTCTAGTAACTACCGTACTAAATCATGTTGAACTTGACACTAATTATACATACGTCTCAAATTCTACAAATAACTGTAATTTACAGAAACTATGTAATGACTCTGTACATCTTTATTGTGAAATGTATATGCTTTGAGTCTGGCAAACATTCAACCAGTTACACATATTCGCTTATTTATTACATTAAATAAATACCTTAAAAGAATACCTACCTTTAAACAGAGGACTAATATTCCACACAGATATAGGACCAAGACTCGCGAATTGACCGAATGCAAATTCGAGGAAAAATAACGGAAGTCCAAGCAGTATCAACATTAAACAGTATGGGATAAGGAATGCGCCTAGTTTAGGAATGTAAAATAGTCATGAAATACAAGTTAGCAGAATGAAAGGTTGTAGGAAAATACTATGATGAACTTTAGCTTGTTCCGTCTACACAAAAATAAGTTGAAAAAATACAGAAACCAAACGATAAATTGAATTCCTAAATGATCATAGGCGATAAAAGATCTTACATTTCAGTTACAATCAGATTAATAGCTTAAGCACCCGTAATATAAGTAAGCCTTCCAATCTATTATCATGGGAAATACACACTAGAAGCATCTACTGTGTGTTAGTATTTCGAATTACATACCTTTTTTGAGAACTAAATAACCTTCCCTGTAATTTATGAAGATTTAAGCATATTTAAACTTTAGGTGTTATTCATTAGAAATGCTTATCTTGCCTGTAAACATCTAAGCCACTTCGTCCATTATCAGGTCTCTAATCTACACAGACAACTTCAGTATCGCCAAAATCAATAAACATAAGGAGAATAACAGGTACCGCTAAAACACAGTAATCATAAATCGTTATATATAGTCTATGTAACGTCAATGAACATATTAGTATAACACACCATGAAGAAAAGTTTGCTATTAAAGACCAACTCTCTCATTTTTTATACGTCAGGTTACAATCTGGTTGAGTGATTTACTTAGACATAACATGTGAAAAGAAAGTACGGGTGTACCTTAGTATTAAACAATGCTCGGCAAAATTCATCGTGACTACAATCATTTTATGATATGACAAAACAACCACGAAGGTTCTCGAAGTCTACAGGTCTAGACAATGTATACTTTCTCAAGGTTTGTGTTAGAACCAATAAGTCATAGTTTCGATACAATACTGTGTGATACCTTGCTTGCCTAAATACATAATTGGACACTGAAACATACACTCAACTTTCTTTTTCCGCCTAGGATTTAAATCACGAATCCACCAGATGCCTGGATATACCCAAACTGCGATAAAACTAATAAAACTGATTGCAATCCCCATCACATGAACCCAATAAAAGTGACGACTACACTTTTAAATGATCAGAGTAGTTAAGTCATCAGTAAAAATGGGAAAAAAATAACTAACCTCCGCCATTTTTGTGACATAAATACGGGAAGCGCCAAACATTTCCAAGACCGACAGCATAACCAATGCATGTCATCACAAAATCCAGTTTACCACTCCATCCACCACGCTCCTGATTTTTGGCATCGAATCTTACGTCAATTTCATCTCCTCTATCATCTTTGAAGGTGAGCGCATACTATACTCCCAAGGGAAACAAAGCAACAGATTCAGATGCATTCATCAGTTGACGAGGAGTACAGTAAAATATGAGGGAATAAAAAACGAAATACTAATTGTAGAATCCAACCCGACACTTTGACCGTTAATTATGGCATTGCCCTCAAACCATGGTAGATCTCAAATAGTGCATATTCTTAGAATACACGGTAAACAAGTAAAGAACACGCTTAAAAGTGAATAAAGGTCTGCCTGGCAGCTTTACATATTGAAATAAATAATAGTACCGTATTTCTGAGAGTAATCATTTGTTTTTCATAGTTCGAACAAATCTGTGGAATAATTCACCGCATTTCCCAAGAAGATAATATGTGAGGTGGTCGTTTTCTGTAGACACTTAAATGACTTTTACTGGTGAAAGATGAATGAGGGTGAACCTCTTCAACCTAATTTGTATGACGAAATAACTTTATTGTTCGTGCCATCTACTTTAAACTACTACACATTTGATTGTGAGCAGCATGTCAATACATATACCAATATTCATGGAAGAAATTCTCCTCATTTAGAAATAGTTACAAAGTAATTTTAAGCAAAGACAACATGTCGAATAGTACATAGGGCTTAGGTTTAAAATTAGGTTAAAACATTTGTCAAAATGGTATCCATGGTGCAAATACATGTCATTTATGTGAAAAGTTCTTTAGGAAAAAAGATACCAAAATAACTACATAGGCTTAGACATATATACAGCTACTATTCCCTAGTGTATGTAATTAAAATTAACGAACGATGGAACTTACCATTCCTCCTAAGTTCTCCTCGGGGACCATCATCTTGTTTGAAAAATTTTTAATTTTATCAGTTTCCTCGACATTAGATGCGGCTATGTCACCCATTTAACACGTGTACTATTGAGAGTTATGTGGTGTAGTCCTCCACCGAGTCCTGATGTTCACAACAAACGCCCGTTTGTAATGGCTTGCTTCATTCAGACGGACTTTATATACTGATTGGAAAGAATTTAAGTTGCCTAAATTCTACTGTTTCCCGATCAATTTTCTGATGAAACTGAAGTTGATTGACCAATTAAAATTCTGTGATTTCATTTGTTAGTAGTATTAGATTATTGTGACATGTACATAAATAAAACAACCAATCGAAACGCAATCAACTTTATCCAATGGTATTTACGGCTTTTACAATCCTATGTCCATAGCCATTGGGTCTATCGTTTAATAGTTTGTCTATAAGCTGGTTACAGCTAACACGTGTTTCTGCAGCATTTTTATGATGAAAGTCTTTGTCTTACTATCTCGAATTGTTTCCCTCCTGGTGTGTCGTCTCATTTCATTGTGTTGTCAGACTCTTGTCTCAGGGCCATCAGTGTTTTCTCTTATTTCTCTCGTTAGAATATTTCTTTTACCCAGACCTTGCTTAAATATTAGACGAAAAGTTTTATGTAATTATGTACAACAAGTAGTGCTGTACTATTGTGTGTTACATTAAATAGACAGAGTAAATCTCTCCCGCAATCCTCCAAGTTTCAATACTATATTTAACCAGAATACAGTCAGCTTTCAATATGAAAAGTGTTTTCATACAAAGTCTTGCATTTCTCGGTATTAGTCACCGTCAAACTTACAGCAACGTCAGTAGAATCTAATCTCATGTCACTCTGAAGTTCTCAAGTATGATGCACCCTGGTGTTAAGGTTATAATTACGTCGAATGAATTTTCCATTAAGTCATTAGGCGATCGGTACCTCCTTTGTCAGTTGATTACTTGATGTGTAGTGAATATTAGTCTGGGAACGACAATGTATGTGCATTTCACTGATCAACCCCTACTTCCTCAACTCTGTTCATGTACACATAGCACAAAAGAGAGCTGAACATATCAAAAAGCAGACAAAGTATGTTTAATTCATTTCATGTTGACAAGAGTTGTGTACATATAAGACACTTCAGCACCAAAAAAATCACTCAAGCGAATTGTTTACATACTGAGAAAATTATCTTGTATAACAGATAACCTCCAAAGTTAATCTCAAATAAATTACTCTTTTGCGTGAAGCTGTGGTAGCAATATCAATAAAGTCTATTATGGGTAAAATTTATTTTGATAAAGCCTCACAGTGTTATACAGTAATACTTACTGATGACGTTTCAAGACTAATCATATCAGGGCAATAAACTGTGCTCGAAACGTCATCAAGTAAATAATACTACTGTATAACATTGTGAGACTTCATCAAGATGAATTTTTTCCATAATGAAACTAAACTCTACCAAAGTGCACAAGTTCTGTTCTTATACCAAAAAAATCACCTCAGCTATAAATCTTCTGCATTATTTCTCAAGCTGTGTTTTTCTAAATCTGCCCATGAAAGTCCAGTCCTTCTCGCTTGCAAGACCTGGCGGCCTGTCCGAATTTCGGTCCAGCTATTATACTATCTACATATCGCATCCATTCTACCGTTTACTCACATTTATTTATCACCTAAATATGAATTCTAACTGGATCATTTACTCTCGTAACTTTAATAATCATTTAAGACCAAATGACTTTCATATTCCCAAGGAATCAAGGAGGAAGCATCGTAGCGGTTGGCAAAGAGCTCTCTAACGTATACCAGTACCCTTAACTATGGTCCCTGTCATAATGAACACAAACTGCCGCTCTCTGTCTAAAAACATAATGTAACTACAATCTTTGATGTCCACTGGCACTTGTCATAATACTGCCATAATTACGTTACAAGAAACGTGGTTACATGAACTGTATCATGACAACCTTATCTCACTTAAGGACTTGCTAAATAAGCTCTCGATGACACAAACTGAATCCTCGGTCATTCCTACTTCTCAAACAGAATGCAGTACACTGTATACAAAGGTTAATCCTCTTCTGCTGTGCTCACTGAAGCTGGTGTCCCCCAAGGTGCTGCACTCTTCCCACTTCTCTCTTCTTTCTTTCTACATGACTTACCATCTTCAAGTGATACTAAATATGCTGACGACCTGACTGTATCTTTGCCTGTCAAATGTCAAAGTAACTGCTCCAAACTAAATGGCTTTTCATCAGAAATCAGCTTGTGGTCCAGGGAAAACGGTCTAAACTTAAATCCCTCTAAATTCCAAACAGTCAGTTTCCCCTTTAGGCATAAATCTGACCTAAACAAACTGATCAGCACTCACGAGGTGTGCGACATAGATGACACTGACATAGAAACCAAGTCGGAAATTAAATATCTTGGCGTCATTCTATCTGCTGATCTTTCCTGGTCGTCTCATATCTTGATGATTTCTAGGAAAATATTCCGTCTAACCTTCTACATCAAGAAGTTAAGACATTCCGGAATAACCCAACCCTTACTCTACGATTCCTTAACTCTTGCATCCTACCTATTATTCTCTATTATTCCCCCTTAGTTTTTCCAGGGTTGGCTACTTTAGAAAGGCTATACCTTATTACGCAGGATGTTAAAGGTTGTCAGCAGTGTAAGCTACGTGCCACTTAACCAGCTTGTTAATATTCTGGTCAACATGCACTTGGACTCATGTAAAAAATGGGCTAAATCCATTTTATCTAACTCACACCACCCTCTCCACTCACAACTCTTGCCTTGTCTCTCTTCATGCAGGACCAGGAGCCTATACAGAAAACTATATGCTCGCACTAGCAAGTACAAAAACTCAACCATACCCTACTTAGCCCGTGTTCTGTGCGATAAAGAAAGTATTAGGCGTCAAGCTTATGATTTATTAAATAGTCCGTAGAACAAGATGATCTCGTCTTTCCAACTCATATCATTTATAGGTACAAAGTTTTCTTTCTTTTCCTTTTCTCTCTCTTTTTTTCTGTTATATGCTGCTTTGTTTCTTTCTTCCTTACAAACTCTATTTAAAACATTCTTTTTCGTTTTTCACACTCTTGATATCTCGACCTTTTTGTTGCCGCTCACACCAGTGAATATACTTCGAACATTTTGTTCAATTTTGGCTTTGCTACCAATATGCTAATTGTGGTTGTCAAAACTAACTGAGTTTACCCATAATCTATGTAGAATTTTATTTATTGTTACTGTACTAACTGGATGCAAAACTGTAGTAAAATGCTGAGAATTCCATTCTGTATCACAAATACTGCTTTGGAATAAAGCAAATTATATATATATATATATATATAAAGAAACCGATGGGTAAAATCGTTTTCATCACAAAGTAGACGCAGTTAGAAAACAAGTGAGAATACTTGCTAACTGTTTTTTCTAGCTGCAAGCATTTCTATACTACTCATCCCATTATCCCTCAGCTAAGGCAAACTCTTTAGGCATCAACTACTTGATCACGTCAATAGTAAAGCGTATAATTTAGTTAAGCTTTTGTGAGACCGCACTTTGCATGATCAGTGTTGACATTTCACAGTGTACAGTGCAAAATCCACAAGTACTAACTGAGCTCAACAATTTATATTATGTTAACTACTGGTGGTCATGATTGTCAGGTGTATGTTGTTTGTAACAAGTAAACGAATTGATTGTGCACCACAGAGACGGAAAATTTGTTTTCCGAATTATTGTTCCCCTTTATTTATTGTCAGGATAAATTCCTATGGCTGTTGAAGTTTTTCGCTTATTATCTTGGTCTGTTCTGAAGAGCACAACTGCTGTCCAGAGAAATAAGTCAAAGTTAGTGTGATGAGCCCTCTGCACAGTGTACAAAATAGGTAAATACTGCCTGATTGGCATCTTTGGGATAGTGAGAAACAATCGCTGGAGAAAATTGGTAATATGGCTCAACTGTATATTTGTTGATAAAATGAGTATTTGATTAGTTTACTATTGGAAAACCCTACTGTTTATCATTTCCAGCCTCCAATATGATCTTCACCACGGAGCTGGCAGAGACAGCTGTTGATGTGAGTTTTCAGTGCCCTTTTGGAAATACATGACATGATGTGGCTGCCTACCAAGTCTTTGAAGAGTACAAAGGCACTGATTTGATATTGCTGTCTAAAATCCGGATGTCCGTCGTCACGCTGGGTGCAGTAGACTGTCACATTGATTTCAGGATAACCACGGTCTTGCTTTCACCGTACCACCTCAAACTTCCTACTGTGTGGTGGGTGTGGCTGAAACGAGGCCTAATAACTAAACAGTGAAAAGTGAAGTAGGTGAATTTGTGTAGACTTGTTCAGTCTCTGGTTGATCGATCGAGGTGAAATGATCTAGGAATGTGTGTTGTATACTGAGATTTACTCGCGTAAATGTGGATGAATATTTTGTCTGTTAGAAGAGGAGGAGAAGCCAGGAAATCAAATGAAATCAAATGAGATGAGATGAAATAAAAGGGACTCTGTTATTCTACTGTGAATTCGTCTGTGCTAGGTTGTAGGTGACCTTGTATTCAGTCACTGAACCCAGAACGTTCTGGTTACAAGGCGAGCTCGTAAACCATAAAGCCCAGTTCAATAGCCTATGAATTCTAACTTCTACCAATAAACGATATTACGCAACCGCTAGCCAATGTCTTCGAAGAATTTTATTCAGTTCGAGAACAGCGAAATTATTAAGTAGTTGTCCTCACCAACTACATTCAAAGGCGTTTATCATGTTTTAATTGCCGTATTAGACTTCACCACGACTGCTGTTGGTAGCGATCCTGGGTCATACATAATAACATCTCAAAGTCTGTTTGTCTGTTTTCGAAATAGAACTTTGCACCGATGTGAGACATTTCGAGTCGCCACACTCCATGTAGCAAACAAGGCAAGAGAAGAAAGTAGAAGAAATGCATAATAGAGACAGTAAACAGAGGTGGGAGACAGAGGAATATTAATAACGAAGAACAATATAGTTTCATTGGAAAGCATAGGTCACAGGGAGTGGACTCAACTGCGCCATTTAGAACGATTTTGAGCCATGTCACCAATTGTTTCCAACCATCTGTTTTTACCGTCCCGAGGACCTCAACCAGGAAGTCTACACCTCCCTACGTGCATGGCTTAAACTAACCGTTGTAGATTTCATTGACTGATGAGGCCATGTTTTGGTTTGACCACCACTAGCTCTTTTCCAGCCTGACCCTATGTCAGCTA